ATCATTTGTTCAACATGTCAAGTGAGTATTTTACAATTTTCTCACAACATTACGCTTTTTTCGGTTGCATGATATCAACATATTTGCAAAATAATACAGTTTCACAAATATTTTCAACTATGACTTCCTAAAGACCCAAATATAAGAAATTGAGCGAATCATTAAACAACATGATAGATGAAATGTAAAGTGGGCTTTTAATTTTTATAGTCCTGAACTTAGAATACAAAACAAATTAAAAAATTTTGAAGAATATTTCAAAAACACGTGAAATCCGACGTTACTTTAATTACAAGTGACATAACAAACCATAACAACTTAAGAATATTAAGTTTCACATGAAATCCTAACATTCTCCATATATTAATAAAACTAACACCGACAAGCGTAGTTCCAAAAAACACAAAATTTTAAATGTAATGGGCATAATACTAGGTCGTTCGGACGAAAATTTTGATCAAATCATCTACTCTTGCTGGTAAACCAGTAACTGGACATTTCTTTTCCTCGCTCACATATGTATAGATGCAGCCATAACAAAAAACATAACCGGAGACACTCAGTGCCTGAAATGAAGCATTTTAGAAATGAAGGACTTACTCAATTTAATCCGTGCCTTCAAGGTATTTGTGAAACAGATACGACTATGATAAATATAATGACATCACTGAGTCATACAATTTTGAAAGCTTCAAACAGAAATCAAAGATATTCCTTCAATTTTTCTGAACCACATCAATTTAAGATCTTGTTTTTTAGCTTTTTTGCATTGTAAACAAAAGTTGTAAAAACTGTGGACAAGAAAATATTTCATTTATTAAATGAAATATTTTAGAATTACAAAAATTTTTTGGGTGGAACATACAACATACCGTATCATTCGTTCGATGTTGTAAACATAGAGGACACTTGTTTGTCTCCAATCGCAGCACAGAACTTTCTAATATTCTCTAAAAACCACCATCATGAAATACTGAGATTTTTACATAAAATAAAGATCTTGATGAAACTGAATTCTGATGAAACGCAACTGATCGACAACCATCTTATCATTTCTTTCATTCTCACTAATAGATGTAATTCCATTTTTACAGAAATCAAACATACGTAATGTGGCGCCGGTATATGTTTAAAGTCTTTTTTCTTTAAATTCAAACGTAAATTTTGTCCAAAATCACTGTTGTGATAAAAATCCAAAAACTGGATTAAATAGAGACCAAAAGTTATGCAACGAGTGATAATGCTGATAAAAACTGCAAGTGTCTGCCACGATCTTCTGAAATCTAGAAGTGAAAACATCTTGAATATATGCATACTATCGATGTCTTAAAATAAAATAAAATTTTTTTAAACTGTAAAATGCTAGAAAAAAAATCTACTCTATCTTTAACCACTTAGATTTTAACTAAATAATTTAGAGGCTGCTGAATGAACGTTAATCACACCTACTGTTTTGTTCATTAAAAGTCTTAAAGTCAGCTGGAGTCAATTTTACCAAATGCACATTTGAAAAATGTAATTCAGGTGAATGTATATTACACCACGAGAGGATGTAAGCAATCTTAAGAATGAAAGTCCATGTAGAAAACAGCGCTTTAATCCATGGATAACAGTTCACAATAATTCTCAATAATAGGATTCTCTGAAAGCCAAAATGATTTCTAAGGTCATGAAATGTACTGCATTATGAATTGTACTCCGCTACTAATACTGCAATATTTTTGAGACGGTTAAAAATATAATATATGAAGAAACTGCGGAAAAATTCAGACTTACTTGGGAAAAACTAGCGGCAGAGCATGTTGATAGAAAAGAATGAAATTTTTCAATTTTTTTAAGGATATAAGGCCAAACCACCTGAAAGTCTTTATTCTTATTAATAAACTGGCATAGCGAAATGAAATATGACAAAAAAAATGTTCGTCTCACGAAAACTTCTCTGAAAAAGTATCCAAAAAACAATAAAAAGAAGTTCAAGTTTAAGGTATTTTGTAACTACCAAAGCAAAATTTATGCAAATTCATATTACCTGAAATATCCAACAAATACTTGGATATTTTAACCATTGCTAGGAGTTTTGAAATTAATTACTCTTATTTAGATGTACATAAGAAGGGAGAAAACGTAAGTTGGAAGTAATCATACTTAGTGACGTCTTAATCTAATAGAAAAATGGCTGAAATACTAGAAACAAAATACCGAATGGCCTATTTATTCTTTTATTATCTCAGATATTAAGTACATTTAGGTCACACTAATTTAAATCACAACAGCGTGACTTAAATTAGTGTGACCTGTGACACGATCCAAATTCTGGCATAAACCGTTTTCATACTCACAATAACATAAAAAACATCGCTATGATATTATATAGAAAGGTAATATTAGCAAATCAAGTTTTATTATTAAACAAAGTATGCATACTGTGAGCATTACCAATTAAGTAATTCTTAAACCCACATATAAAAATAAGTTAACCTACCAACATAAATAAGGAACGTAGTTTTGGTAATCCTGTTGAGGCAGACTGACAGGAACCATTAATTACTCGTTTCATTCCATAAAAGTTTTCTGCCAACGATCCACCTAAAAAATATGAAACTGCACATGTTACATATGAATATGCAGAACAGTTTTGAAAACTTTTTCTGTATTACTAATTAATCCAACAGAATTTGGACAACAGTGTTGATTAAAGCCATGAACAACTAATTCAATCGTTAAACTTAATAATATTTCTTCTGCAGTGCTTTACAAAAATCATTTCAAGTTTTATAAAACTCAAAAAATAAAAGAAAAGAAACTGACCATATTTTTTCAAGTAAACATTTTCCACAAATAAATTTATAGCTGCATATACCTCGTCATACCACTCCCATAACACTCTGTATCGTAAAGGATTGGTTTCATACAAACACTACAAACTATTTTACGTAAAAGTATGGGAATAAATACGAGAAAATGCATGATCTTGTCTTTAAAAACATTTTTTCAATGCATCTAATAATGAAGCCTTGTTTCTAAGGTACTTCAATATTTTTACAAAACAAAGTGTGATGAAGAATTTCTAAGCAAACAACAGATGCAGATATGTTAATATTACTTTCTTAAGTCATAAAAATAGACAAACAAATGGTGATTACAATTTCAATGAAATATACATGTTATGCACTGCAAGTACATGTACTTCAGTGAGTTTTCATTTATTGAGCGCAATAAATCAGTCCGAAATTTATAGCGGTCAGGGAAAAAAGCATGACATTTTATATCAAAGACATGAAAGCTCCCATTTATAGCAGTCCACATAATAAGAATTTACATGAATTTATTCAGTTTCCATTAAAAATGTGCTAAAAAATTAAGGAAGCGCTGGGGTTACTTAACATGTGATTAAGAAAACTAGTATTATCAGTGATGACTGAGCCAAGATTGAAGTTAAATGAGAATCTAAACCTTAACTGCGTGTCGAACTGCTGGTTGGATTAAACCAGATAAACTATCACGAGCAAGCAATTCGAATACAGATGGCTGCATTCCTTGATTCCTTCCGTTTCCAGCCATTACTATTGTGTTAATATGACCAGCATCAACTAAACACACAATAAATTACATGTAATTGAACATGACAATAACACTAGCAGTTTAAAGTACAGAATTTGGTACCGAAGTCGAAACCTAGACAAATCTACCTATAAAATGACTTTTTTCTAATATTACAACAAAATCTTGTAGTTTTACTCTAAGTTTGTGAGAACTTTCTTTAAAGGTACAAAATTATGGTACGCTGAAGCATGATTTGCAGAGTTGATTAACCATGAAAGACTCTGTACGTTAACAGAAAAATGCCGAATTAGATCAATCATGTCAACTAGGTCAAGTTGTGTCGACTTCCTTCAATTTATATAAAGTGAAATGAAGAAATGAAAATAAAAAAACAGTCATGTTCTAATCTATTCAGTAATACGAAACCCTTCATAGTTAGCTGACTGCCGCTAATCATAATTTTTTGACAGACCATGCAACGGTTGGTTAAATCATGCAACGTTTTAGTATGCTTCATCAGTTATTATGCAACTGCTTGTTTAGGTTTAGCTGAGAATCTTACTACTTGTTGGTTTGTAATTTGAGCCAAAGCAGAAAATATAATTTGATGGAAAATTGAAGTAGAACTTCATATTGATCCATAACATTCATGCTTTTAAAATAGAGGATGAATTCATAAAGCATTGAAACAGTTATTGGAGGTAGTATTTCTCTTTAGAAATCGCAAACTTTGGTCAAGATTATTTTCACATGAAAAAGGCTTTCCAAAATAAACTAATAAATATAATCTACAGAATATGGATTCTACAAAACTGAGGACATTTTTTGATGTAGATTCTACAGTTTCATGGGTTAAACGAAATAGATATCATCGAATCGCTTTGCAGTTTCCTGATAGTTTGGTTCCATTTGCTGTTGATATCGCAACTACTTTGGAAAGTGAATCTGGCGAAGATGTGAAAACATATATTCTGCCTGATACAACATATCGAAGGTAACTTCTATGTACTTGGTATTAGATTCTAATGCAGTTGTTTACCTCTGTATTTTGTATAGTTTTTCTGTCATGCATATTTTTTTATAATTTTATGTACAAAGATAAGCAGCGCATTTCCTTCAGATGCACTGCGTTTCTTTCGGCGACACTGCGAAAATTATGATTACAGTTCATATGAAACATATTTATACCACTAATTTATGGCTATTGCTGCACCAAATTCTGTTTCCGCTCTTTCTTACAGTTATTTGTTTATTAATGAAAAAAGTGTTGTGGATATAATTTTTTGAATTCTTTCATGATGTATAATCCTTATTGCAGTTGTTGTGTAGATTGGCTAGCCGCAGAACAGTGTAATGCTGACTGTATCATTCATTATGGAGACTCATGTTTGAGTAAAACCATAAATCATCTTCCAGTACGGTTTGTTTTCGGGTATGCGTCTATTAACTGGCAAGAGTTGGAAAAAGCTGTGAAAAAATGTTGCAATAAATTTGAAAAGAATTGCTGCCTTTTGTTTGATTCAGTGTACCTAAGCAGTGAAGGTTATGTTTATAATTTTGCATTTAGATCAGTGCTTTCATAACTTAGAAGTTGACAAGTAATTAATACCTAAAAAAATCATAAAGTAATGATTTGACAGCAATAAGTAATGTTATGAAAGGAAGAAAGTCTCCAGTTCGATTCGAACAGAAACACGTTTGAACTGATAAATCCTAACTATTTTAATCATGACAAAAATAAAGAAGATAAAACCTAATTTAAGAAAATTTTAAGATGGCTTATGCGATATTTTGAGCAAGTTTGATGATTTGAAGTCATTATTTATTTGCAAAATTATCGACCAGTTTAATGACGTTCAACACAGTCAGCCTTCTTCTTCAAGTATGATTTATTAATTATGTTTTATAGCATTTCCTTGATATTTTTAGAAAAGCGGGCATAGTTTTCAAAAGTGGATTGCCTTGCATCAAATAAAAAAAATTTAGTGGAAAAAAATTAGAAAGATATATTTGCATTCAACCATCTTTTCTCTATAATCATGAAAATTTTACTCTTTGTGGAAAATGCAGCATGCTTTTTGTTCTTTTATGTGATTCATGCTTTTAATTTGAAATATTAGAAGAACGCGAATTACTCACTGCCATTGGTATCAGTAATATTAACTCATTTCAGACGACGCATGTTGCTTGGGACGTATACTTCCACCGAAAAATCAATGTATGACGGTCTTGTTTATTGGTGAAGTAGATAGTCCCTTGTTACCACTTTGGCTGATGACAAATTTGAACTGCACTAGCGTTTTTACATTTTCTCCTACTACTCTACAATACTCATTTGAAAAGTAAATCATTGTTTGTTTTTTTTTCATTTAAAATTTATTTGTGCACAATTTATAAGAGCATTAGCATCATATATGTTTTTAATTTCGAAAATGAAATTGAGCGGTGAAAAGTTTATAAAGCGAAGAATGATCTATAATTTGTTTGTAATAAAAAAGTATTGGTCTGTTGATCAGTTTAAAAATTATGAGTTTTGGTTAAATTTTTGCGAGACGAAAATAATTCGTTAATAGACTGCGCATGAATTTAGGACTGCGACTAGCCGCATTTTAAAAAAACGTTTGTATTTGATTGAGCGGTTGCGAGATGCTCAAACTGTTGGCCTTGTTGTCAGTACATTGGATTTAGATGGATACAAAGAAGCATTAGAACGAATCAGAAAGCTTTGCAAACTTGCAGGAAAAAAGTACTACACTTTAGCAGTTGGAAAAGTAAGACTAATATTCATTCTTATGAAAGGAAATAATAGTCTGCTCTGATTCGTTTTTTTTCAACTCTTTTTATTTTAGATTAACGCACCGAAACTCTCTAACTTCGCGAATGACATAGAGGTATTTATCATTCTTTCTTGTCCTTATGGTATTCTTTTGGATGTTTCCGATTTCTATCGTCCAGTTTTGAGTTTTTTCGAAGCAGAAGTAGCTTTGAATCCAAAGAGCAGTTGGTCAGCTTGCGAAGGGTGGACTGCCGAGTTCAAAAACCTTTTGCATAGTGAGTGTTTGATATGAACTGAAAAAATGTTTTGATAAATATCAGGCCTTTCATTAGGTAAGTGGTGGATTTTAAAGCTGTAACTCACTGTAAATAATGCTTTGAAATTTTTGCTTGGAGAGCAGCTTGGTTATTTTGATTGTGCAGTTTATCATCATTTTCAGATGACATTGGTAGTGAAGTCGACATTACATCAGATCTGAGCTTGGTAACTGGTAAAATACGTTCGATGTGTTTTAGAAACGACGTCGATGGCGACGTGAATACGTGTAATGCTGTGTCTCAGTATTCTGCTGGTAACTTTTCAAGTTTTTATAATGTTCTTTGGGGCATTCAAATTATAGGTGAGTAATCGTATTGGTCCTTTTTCTCTTTCTGATTCATTTGTATTGCATACTTTAGGCTGTTGCAAAAAAAAGTGGTTTTACTTACCAGAAGTTCAGATACTAATATTTCTATTTGCTGTTTAGCTTTTATATTTGCTGATTAATAAGTTGGTATTGATCTATTGGAAAAAAATACTTTGTAGTCAAAAAAAGTAATAGGTTACTGTTATTACAAAAAGTTTAATTTCGTGAATTTGTGTTATGTAGATAATTCGTCATATGATATGTCAAGTGTTTCAGGCGATTATTTTTCGAAAAGAACTTGGAAAGGAATGGATGACAGTTATGGCGCTGAAAATGTTGTCGTGCAGAAAGGACGGTCGGGCATTGCTATGAAGTATGATTCAGAACCATCAGTTTAGAATGTTCTTTTTGTCCCTGGTTTTTTGTGTTTTTCAAAAGTTTTTGGTTTTTTGTGTTTTTCAAAGATTTTCATGTTTCTGGAATCATTAAAGCATAAAGTTTTCTGTGAACTTAGTGCAGTAGGTACCCGTATTTTGAATGAACATTGGTATTTGATATTTATGAAGAATAGACGTTATTAATAATGCGTTAATAATTTTGATTGATATGTGAAATGATACAACGGTAACTGAAGCGAATGCAATGTGCTGTGAAAAAGAGAGAACGCTGGTGTGTTTACCATCCATATCAAGTGTTATTCATTTTAAGAAAGTAACACCGATATTTTTACTGATAAGCTTAAGGGGTTAAAAAAAAGCATTGGGAAGATTTTTAATCTAATTATGAAAATCTGAAGTGAAACCAAGATTTGGATATCTTCTTCTTCATTATTATTAGTTATTGTTTGTACTGTGATAAAAATATTGAGGTAAGAAACATGTAATAGAGAGGGACTAAACATTATCGGTATTAGTGATGATTTGACTGTGATATAATCTCGAAAGCAATTGTTTATTCAAACATTCATTGGAAAATTTACATCTTCGGGAACACTTATCCTTAATATTCATCATTGTAATGAACATAACTACGAGAAAGTTCGCACTCTTGGTTTCCCTTTATTGTGAAAGTACCTTGCAGTACGTTTAACAAGGCGCAATATAAGTGTGTCAGAGGTAAAAACAATGGTCGTAGATAACTCTAGAAGTTATATCTGAATGCAGTTCATCATATCTCGATCAACCAAAGCCCTTTGCCAAATATTCTGTAACCTTGACCAGTGCAAAGTGAGAGTTGTTATCAGTGGAACGTAAAATTGTAGTTATTACTAAGGTACATACCAAAGATAAAACACCTTTGTAATGTTGAGTAGGGAGCTAAGGTCATATGATAAGGGAGTCCCGCAGTAAACGAGCAATAGTAGAGAATGATTTACTGCTGATGTGATTAAAGTGAAAGAGACGTGGTGGTACCGAGAGGTGCAGATTGGTAGGGCATGTCAAGGATGAGTGAGTGAGTGATTGCGTCAAAGGCTTGGAGGCGATGGAAAGTCATTTGACGTGCGGTGCTTAGTAATACAGGTTTCCCAACGTACTTTGTTGATGTCGCATGTGTGCACACAGAGTTGTGCATATTATTTGTCTTTTTCCCTGTTAATAATCTATGCACATGTGCGTATGTAATGTGGAAGTGATAGAGCGTGTAGAAAATGCTAATATGTGAGGTTCTCTATGAGTACGCTCACATATGCGAAGGTCGTAACTTACGTCTGTGTATGTTTGCATAGTGTATTTGTGTTTTTATGTAATACTGAAATTTGTAGTTTTCTTCTAAATGTGCGAAATCGATTTAATTTGTCTACAGAAATCAAAATACCATGTGTCATTACAAGTAAAGATATACCCCAACTGCTTTATCCTTTCATATCTTGGATATAATTATTTCTGTGTTACAACTCTTTGTTTGTCAGCGTATCTTAATTTTCATTTCTCAGTTATGTAATAAATATTCTTACATTGAAATTTGCATTTTTGATTTCACTTAATACTGTATTTAATGAGAATATTTTTAATAACTGCTTATATTTCAGAAGGAAATTGCTGAGAAGTGGTATTGTAAGCAATAAAAACTGAATTCATACATTGGAAGCGATGCCGGTATCAATACAGGAGCATAGCAAGCGTCGTGTGGCATATTACTATGATGGTATATACTGTTTTTTTTTGTAAAAAATAGTTTTCAGATTACAAATTTTTCTCTGTTCAGTACTCATAGGATCGTTTTTGGAGTTCATGTATTGTTTTCGAAGTATTATTTTAATCCAAATATTTTGATTGTTGTACAGCTTATTTATGACAATATAAAAGTTGCGTTTTTGCAGAGAGAAAAAAATACATAAAGATTACACAAATGGCTTTTTTATTTATTTTCTATTAATTTATGAATAAATTTTAAAATTTGAGCATAAACAGGTGGTACATCTATGGTTTTATCCAACATAGTTTGTATTTGAAATCTAATTTTTATTTGTTCAATATGAAACCACCATTTGTTACTTAGCATGCACCAATTCCTTTTTTACTTTTGAGAAAATCATATCTACAAAGTAAGTTTTACAGAAATGTGAATGTAATGTGTGATGTAGTTTTTTATTTTACTGTTCTAGCAAATGTTGGAAACTACTATTATGGACAAGGACATGTGATGAAGCCCCATCGCATTCGAATGACCCATCATCTTCTATTAAACTATGGTATTTACAGAAACCTTGAAGTTTATGTACGTTTCAGTTTCTCTTTGATGTCATTTAACGTCAAACTGTCATTTTGCCATGAAAAAAAAAATTTCTCTATCAATTTATCTTATGTCTCAGAAATCTTGATAAGTTCCAGATACTTAAAGGATATCTTGTATTACAACTCTTAAGTCTAGAAATATCTTTTAGCGTCCGTTTCCAGCAACATTTGAAGAAATGACGCGATTTCACACCAATGAATATATGATGTTTTTACGAACGGCTACGCCGGATAATTTGAAACAATTTAATAAACAGATGTTGAAATGTATGTGATCTTCAAACTCGTTTTCTGAGAATTTTTACCGTCTTCTAAATGAGTTCTGAGTTCGAATATGCTGCTGAACAACTTTCAGTCAATGTTGGTGAAGATTGCCCGGTTTTCGATGGTTTATTTGAGTTTTGTCAGTTGTCATGTGGTGGATCTCTAGGTTAGTTTCTGTTGCTTGTTTAGCATTAATATTAAATTATGCATTTGCAGTTCATGAAACTTAGATAGTTTTTCGAAAGTTTAATTAATTTCTAGCAGCAGCTGTGAAACTGAATAAGCGGAAGGCAGATATTGCGATAAATTGGATGGGAGGATTGCATCATGCTAAGAAAAGTGAAGCCAGTGGTTTCTGTTATACAAATGATATTGTTTTAGGAATCCTTGAACTACTCAAATATCATAAAAGGTTCTCTCACCTTTCTTTTTCATACTTGAAATGGATTTATAAATTATGGAGAAAATAAATAATACAGACAAAAAATTGTCAAGTTTTTGATCCAAACGTTTGTGCTTGAGAGGCGCATTTATTAGTTTTATTACCAATTTTCTTTGTAAATATTTAAACATTGAAGCTAGAACCGTTTTGGTTAATCTAAACTTCTTATTGTGTACAATTAAAAACTAGGTGAGACGTATTTATATTTTGTCACTCTCCTATAGGTGGACTTTTCACTTTAAGTTTTCTGTTTTTAAAATTTCTCTCTAAATCTGCTCATTAGCATTCAAATGGATCTTAGTTGGATTTAGAGTACTTTATGTTGATATCGATGTGCATCATGGTGATGGTGTTGAAGAGGCGTTTTATACTACTGATCGAGTTATGACATGTTCATTTCATAAATATGGTGATTTCTTTCCGGGTACAGGAGAACTAAAGGATATTGGGGCTGGCAGGGGGAAATATTATGCAGTTAATGTTCCTTTGAGAGATGGCATCACGGACGAATCCTATCAAAGCATTTTTGTGCCAGTGAATTTCATTTCTTTAATAACTCATTACGATCATTTCAGCTTGTTAATGAAACTATTTCATTATTGAGGAAATTAAAATCAGTTGGTTAGAGCGCTAAACTAAAACATGAATTCAAATATGGAAAGTTTTTAAAATGCTAAATCTCATGTTTTATCTTATTATTAGTAGAATTTACTTAGAAATATCTAATCAAGTAGTGAGGAATAGCTTGCTTTGTTATGTTGCAGGTGATGGAAAGAGTTATGGAAACGTTTCAACCGTCAGCTGTAGTTTTGCAGAATGGAGCAGATTCATTAAACGGCGATCGTTTAGGCACCTTTAATCTTACTTTAAGAGGTACTGAAATATTCCGTATTTTAATTTTCAGGAGGCTGTAAATTTTCCATAGTTTCTGTTTTCAACTTAGAGTAATGTGAAAAGCATAAAACATGTAGATAGTTTCTCCTCTGTTGAGGTCATGGTGCTTGTGCCCGATTTTTTCGAGAGCGACATATTCCACTGATGATGCTTGGTGGTGGCGGTTACACACCTCGAAACGTCGCTCGATGTTGGACTTATGAGACTTCAATTGCTGTTAATATGGAAGTCTCAGATGGTATCTGATTTCTACATTTTGATCACATAAATCATGATCACAGTCAAGGTGATGGCGTGCATCCGTTGCTACAGTGGTGTGATCAATAAAATTTATTGAAAAGAGTTTTAGTTAATATAGATTGTTGTTATTAACTTTGTGTTTGCAGATCTTCCATACAATGATTATTTTGAGTATTTTGGTCCCCATTATCGACTTCATATCGATCCTTCAAATGCTAATAATGAAAATACTCCTGATTTTCTGAGAAAAATACAGTAAGTTCAATGAGTTTCAAAAATTTTCATTACTGAATTTTCATTATAAATGGCTTCTAATCTAATTTCAAGTATTTGAAAAATACTAAAAAAGCTTATAAATTTGTTACAATTTGTTCTTTTTTTTCAATCAGCTGATCATCTTTCACTTTTTTCATTGTTTTGAGCTATACTAATTTTTCATGGTTTCAAAAAATGAATTTTGAGTAATGTCATGATAAAATAATTTGTGTATACGGAGATGTTAAAGGGAAGGAGTTATGGAGAATTTGCGACATTTGCCACATGTTCCAAGTGTACAAATGCAACCTATTGGTGATGATTCCTATGCTAATCGCTATATAAATGCGGAGGAAGCTGCGCATGATAACGCTAACCCGGATGTTCGGCTGAATAGTATGACAATAATCACATTATATTTCTTTTAAGAGCTTTTGTATACCGTATGAAGTTGGAGATCTGATTTTGAAAATTTAGATACAGTGATGGAGGCATCTGTTGAACATCAAGGGGAATATTATGATGGTGAAAAAGAAGGAGGAGATTTACGAAATGAACAATCTTACAAGCGAACAGTCACAGAAGCAGAAATTGGCGAAAGTGAGAGATCGAAAAAACCAAAATTGGAGGTCACTCCTTGAATTTATTTTTAATTTCTTAACAGAATTATCTTCATCATGAAGTAAGAAACTCTATTTTTGTTTCACCATTTTACTTTATTTGTTTGTTTTAATTCAGGATTGATACAGTTTTAAAATGGTCTTTGTTGCAAATGCGTGCCGCAAGAATTTCTGTGATAATACCTTATGCGAAGTTCAAACATAGTTTACTGTTAAGTTGATCTCAGTTTATTTTAACTTCTATGGTCAACACTTTAAATTTAGTTTTATTAACAATATTCCGCTTCAATCAGAAATGATTTTATGATATGTCATCGTCCAGTAGTCATGAATACATGCTAATTGCTTGAGAATAGCCATTAAAAATTTGGTTAGCAACGAATAAGCAAACGGAAAATGATCGGGATTTTTATTGTGAAATTAGGGGAATCCACATGGTTTTTCTCGAAATTTTGGTAGATAAATGAAAGCTACTCATTAAATTAATTAAGCCTCTTTGTTCATTTTCTAACTAAATTGGTTTGATGATATTTTCATTTGTTGCATGATTTTTTATGTGATGAAAATTACTCTTTTAAATATTTTCCTGTTATTTCTTTACCTTTAATTCAGTTTTTACATCTGTACGTCAAAAATACTGTATTTTTTAATTTATGAATGGTGCATGGAAAGTAGTTGATTATTATTTATTTTTCTGTTGTAATTTATTACAGTGGAAGGAAAAGAAAGCGTGATGAATGAAATACATAGCCAAATAAATGCACAACGTTGTGAATATAATTGTAGATTTTGTGCGTTGTGAAGAAAAAAATTTGAGTTTTGTAAGTAATTAAGTTGAGTTTATAAACTCTATTTTCTGTTGCTTTTGATGTTAAAAGATATGTAGTTCTAAATTGTGTGTCAATTTATGTTTTATGGTACATATTTTTTAGTGTTTACATTGAGCATTGAAATATATTAAAAATTGCAATAATCATTTCTTTTTCGGTGCTGAAAAATGTGCGTGTACTCAACGTTTTTTATTGTAGTATTCGCCAGAATTGGTTCCACGCTAAATGCTACGCAGTCCATGATTCGCTGATCTACGTGGAATACTAAGTTGATTGTTATGTTTTACTCCTGTGAATTTTATGATGGATTGGATTTTTTAAGAAAAGTGTGACATGACTCGATACCACTGTAGTGAAAATAGTGTTTACGACATATTTTTTTTGGGAACACGGAGATTTATAGAGGTCCGTATAATTGGCAATAAGTAAGTCAACTAAAGTTCGACTGAACTAGTGACCGCTTTCAAATGAGTGGTATTCAGTCACGTTGTGAAGTACAATAATTGTTCATCAATAAGATATGTTGTCGAAGACCATATGTCTAGATAGTAGATTACAGGCTTCCAGTCATTTTGAGTACAAAGTATTTATTGTTTTGAAGAGTACGTAATTTTGATCCAAATATTTATTTCGAATAGCCGTCATTTGATTCGTCATGCAATAAATAATTGGACTAGGTTTGTTTGCATTACTGTTTCTTGCAGATTTTTTGAATGATTGATCACCAATCATTTAAAAAATGAATGGAATCCTCTTTCATTCATTGAAATTATACATATCAAATGTGAGAGTTAAACTTCAATCTTAAATTAGCAGATATCCGATAAGACGTTCGCCGTTGGCAACCGATGCACAAGACTGACCCCTACTGTAGTATACTGCTGAGCATTATATTTATTTGGATTCTTCTGTCCTTTGTTGTCTTCCTTGTTTCACTCGCACAGTAACCAAATGACCTTTATTTCTACTGTTGAATTCTACTTCGTTGTCATTTTTATTATTGAATCCTAAATTATATGAAGTTCAGTTAGACTGTGGTAGTTTCTGCATTCTTTCTTCCAAAGAGCAGTAATAAGCTAAATATGCATATTAGCTAATAGCCTGATTGCTTTTACCGCAGTTCTCGAAAACTTTTATGAAGTGTACAACTTGTAATAGTAGTTGTAAATGGGACGTACGAAAGGGCCAACACTTACCTAACTCATTACTTAATCAGACA